GGGGGGGGGGGACACATGGGGACGCCATGGGGACCTCATCAAGGGGGGGCATCAGGAACCCCAGGGAGATGTTGCAGAGACCATGGGGACATCAGGGACCCTGGGGACATCAGGAAGCCTGGGGTGATGTTGGGAACCCCATGGGGACATCGGGGACCCCAGGGGACATCAGGAACCCTGGGGAGATGTTTGGGATCCTGTGGGGACATTGGGGACCCCAGGGAGATGTCAGGAACCCCGGGGAGATGTTGGGGACCCCATGGGGACATCGGGGACCCTGGGGAGATGTCAGGGTTGGGGACCCCATGGGGACCCCAGGAGATACCAGGAGCCCTGGGGCGATGTGGGACATCAGGAAGCCTGGGGTGATGTTGGGAACCCCATGGGGACATCGGGGACCCCAGGGGACATCAGGAACCCTGGGGAGATGTTTGGGATCCTGTGGGGACATTGGGGACCCCAGAGAGATGTCAGGAACCCCGGGGAGATGTTGGGGACCCCATGGGGACATCGGGGACCCCGGGGAGATGTTGGGGACCCCATGGGGACATAGGGGACATCAGGAACCATAGGGAGATGTTGGGGACCCCATGGGGACATCGGGGACCCTGGGGAGATGTCAGGGTTGGGGACCCCATGGGGACCCCAGGAGATACCAGGAGCCCTGGGGAGATGTGGGGGACCTCATGGGAACATCAGGGACCTCAGGGGACATCAGGAACCAAGGGGAGATGTTGGGGACACCCCAGGGTGGGGGTGGACACAGGGAGGCTGTGGGGACCTCATCAAGGTGGGACGCCCCATCCAAACCTGGGGTGGTTTGAGGAGGTGGAGATCCCATGGGGACATTGGGGAACCCAGTGAGATGTCAGGAACCCCGGGGAGATGTTGGGGACCCCAAGCGGACATCGGGGACCCCGGAGAGATGTTGGGGACCCCATGGGGACATTGGGGACCCAAGGGGGCATCAGGAACCCTGGAGAGATTTTGGGGGCCCCATGGAGACATAGGGGACCCTAGGGGACACAGCAACCTTGGGGAGATGTTGGGGACCCCATGGGGACATCGGGGACTTCAGGTGACATCAGAGACCTCAGGGGATGTCAGGGAGGGTTGGGGACCTCATGGGGACATCAGGAACCCTGGGGAGATGTTGGGGACATCATGGGGACATTTGGGACTACGGGGAGATGTTGGGGACCCCATGGGGACATCAGGGACCAAAAGGGACATCAGGAACCCTGGGGAGATGTTGGGGACATCAGGAACCGTAGCGAGGTGTTGAGGACTTCAGGGGACAGCAGGGACCTCAGGGGATGTCAGGGAAGGTTGGGGACCCAAGGGGACATCAGGAACCCCAGGAGATGTTGGGGACCCCATGGGGATGTCAGAGACCCTAGGGGACATCGGGAACCCAGGAGATATGTTGGGGACATTGGGGACCCTGGGGAGATGTCAGGGTTGGGGACCCCATGGGGACATCAGGGACCCCAAGGGGCCATCAGGAACCCTGGGGAGATGTTGGGGCCCCCAGGGCCATCGAGGCCACCCACAGGTGACACCCTGGGAACGAGGGACCCCCAGTGTGGGCCAGGGGTGGCTTGGGGACATCGGGGACCCGGAGGAGGGGACGTTTCCTTCACCCCCCCACCCAGACGTGGCGCGGCCGGACAAGATCTCGGGGGCCGACATCAACTCCATCTGCCAGGAGGTGGGTGACAGCGGGACACGGGGACACCGGGCCCTGTCCCCTCGCGGCCGGGTGACAGGGAGGTGGCATGGGTGCTGTGTCCCACCATGGTGACAAGGAGGTGACACTTGTGTCCCACCATGGTAGGGTGACAAGGAGGTGACATGGGTGTTGTGTCCCACCATGAAAGGGTGATGAGGAGGTGACACGTGTGCCATGTCCTTCCAAGCAGGGTGACAAGAAGGTGGCCCGTGTGTCCCACCATGGTAGGGTGACAAGGAGGTGACATGGGTGTTGTGTCCCACCATGGTGACGAGGAGGTGGCATGGGTGCTGTGTCCCACCATGGCAGGGTGACAAGGAGGTGACACATGTGTCCCACCATGGTAGGGTGACAGGGAGGTGACACAGGTGCCGTGTCTCACCATGGAAGGGTGACAAAGGTGACACAGGTGCTGTGTCCCACCATGAAAGGGTGACAAGGAGGTGACATGGGTGACATGTGTGCCATGGACAGGTGACAAGGAGGTGACACTTGTGACCCTCCATGACATGGTGACAAGGAGGTGACACGGGTGTTGTGTCCCACCATGGCAGGGTGACGAGGAGGTGACGGAGGTGACACCTATGCCATGTCCTTCCAAGCAGGGTGACAAGAAAGTGGCACTTGTGTCCCACCATGGCAGGGTGACAGGGAGGTGACACGGGTGCCCTGTTCCTCCATGGTGACATGTCCCACCATGGAAGGGTGACAAGGAGGTGACACTTGTGTCCCACCGTCTAAGGGTGACAAGGAGGTGACACAGGTGCCATGTCCTTCCAAGCAGGGTGACAAGGAGGTGACACTTGTGTCCCACCATGGCAGGGTGACAACGGTGACCCAGGTGCTGTGTCTCTCCGTGGTAGGGTGACAAGGAGGTGACACGGGTGCCCTGTTCCTCCATGGTGACATGTCCCACCATGGCAGGGTGACAGGGAGGTGACATGGATGACACATCCCACCATGGAAGGGTGACAAGGAGGTGACACGGGTGCTGTATCCCACCATGGCAGGGTGACGAGGAGGTGATGCCGGTGTTGCGTCACTCAAGGTGACAGAGGTGCCACCTCCCTGCAGGGTGGCTGGGGATGGCCCAGTGGCCGTGGAGGTGACCTGGGTGACACGGTGGCTTGTCCCTAGGGTGACTGGGGTGGTGGGGGTGACCTGGGTGACATGGTGGCCTGTCCCCATAGTGACACAGTGCTGTGGTGGCCTGTCCCCATGGTGGTGGGCATGGCTGGAGGTGACACTGGTGACATGGTGGCCTGTCCCCATGGTGCTGCAGTGACACAGTGGCCTGTCCCCACGGTGGTGGGCATGGCTGGAGGTGACACAGGTGACCTGGTGGCCTGTCCCCAGGGTGGTGGGAATGGCTGGGGTGATCTGGGTGACATGGTGGCCTGTCCCCATGGTGCCGCGGTGTCATGGTGGCCTGTCCCCATGGTGCCGCGGTGTCATGGTGGCCTGTCCCCATGGTGCCGCGGTGTCATGGTGGCCTGTCCCCATGGTGCCGCGGTGTCATGGTGGCCTGTCCCCATGGTGCCGCGGTGTCATGGTGGCCTGTCCCCATGGTGCCGCGGTGTCATGGTGGCCTGTCCCCATGGTGCCGCGGTGTCATGGTGGCCTGTCCCCATGGTGCCGCGGTGTCATGGTGGCCTGTCCCCATGGTGCCACGGTGGCCTGTCCCCCTGGTGACACAGTTCTGTGGTGGCCTGTCCCCATGGTGGTGGGCATGGCTGGAGGTGACACTGGTGACACGGTGACCTGTCCCCATGGTGACACAGTGACGTGGTGGCCTGTCCCCACAGTGGTGGGCATGGCT